GAATGTTTTTTGATGTTCTGTTTTTTATTATTTTTTATGGAGCAAACGGTAGAACAGCTGTCGTCCGCCTGTATTTCTTGGTGTTGTGGGACAATTGACAACCGAAACAAGGCCGATCCAGCTACAGACAAACTGCAACGCTGCTCTTTTTTTGTTTTTCTGAATAAAAGGCCAGGCTCGGAGCCACCGGCAATGGGCGATACACCCGTGCTACTGGAGGGGTGGCGAGTATACGAACGCACCATTGTGCAACGTAGCAGGGGAACCCTCCCTGCAGGGGGTACACGTCCACCACACGAGGTTTTCATCCCACGTGCACGCTACCAGATCTGCAATGTGAATAAACATCCACGCAGTCACAAGTGCAGTTTGTGCACTAATAAATAACTCCAGCTACCAGATATTTTATCCGGTCGGGGGGAAAGCCAGGGCAGTAAAACAGCTCAGTCATTTCGAACAAGCTAACCGCAAACAACAACTCGAAGAGGCAAGTCGCGGAAGCAAATGGAACATCAACTAACTTTTGGGCAATGGGAGTGGAACGGAGATGTTCAGAGCCTGTGTACTATGGCTCAACGAAGACGAAGCATTGGTGTGAACCACTATGTCAAGTAGAAGTGCACCAGTGCTATGTATATGTGTGAATGATTGGGCTGTGGGGCCAAACAATTATTCCATTCATAGCACGTCTTCAAACCCACCATTTGATATGTGTGCGCTGCGCGTGATCAGGAGATGCGGAATGGTTCGGAACAGTGTGGAACTGAGACTTTAGTTTGCTTGAGGTTAGTTTAATCCAGCCAAAGCAATAGAGCTGAGAGAGTTACTCAGGGATGGGACCAGGCTTGAAGAACTAGGGCCGATTGAGCAAAGCACAAAAGCTTAAGGCCGGAGGAGGGATACGCAACCAGGTCAGTGGAGACGGGCATGAGAGGGATAAAGTGGCAGGTCATAGATAAGGTTATAGATAAGCACACTTGGGAGGGTGTTTAGGTCTCACTTTCAGCCTAGGTGGTTGACGCAAGATATGCGGCTGAGATACTATCTGAGTATACGCACCCAAAGTCCTTTGTTAAGTCGAGAAGACTGTCTTTGCATTCGGTATGGTTCTGTCATAACAACAAATAAACAACGGTTATGGATTGGATGGAAGTGTCAATGGTTAATACATAGCAATGATTCAATACGAACGTACATTCAAGATTGTACCACAGATCTTCGAGCAGATCCGACTTAAATGTCAAGGAAAATACAGGTGAAGTTTATACTCCAAGCAGTGTTTGAAATGTGGAATGAGATTCATGAAGTGTCGGTAAGTGTGGAGAGGTTAACAGACGTTCACCGAACGTTACACTCCCCCCGGAATCGACAACTGAATCGGATCGCTGCTTGGTGGAGTGTCAAGGATCTCGATGTTTTCTTCGAGCCTGCATAAGTGGCGCATGTCCCTGCGAACACGACCAGCGGCTGTTCGGATAATCGCCTCACGATCCTTTGACGATATTTTCAACGACGGCTTCCGACCACTGAAGTCTGGAGGTGCCTTTGCTGACAACCAGAACCAATCTCCCGGCTGAATATTTGGGTGAACTCGTGTCCAACTGTAGGTTAATTGCAGTGTCGGGAGATAAAGGTTCAGCCATTTCTTCCAAAATATATGCGCCAAATTTTGGGCCTGGCGCCATCTTCGGTTAAATTTCCGACATGGTATTTCCTCCGGAACGGAAACCGATTCGTTGCTACGAAGCAGTAACAATTTATTAGGACTCAATAAGTATTGATCATCGGGGTCATCGAACTGCTTCACCATTGGACGGTCGTTCAACATACGTTCTATTTCCACTATCGTTGCACACAAAACTTCATCCGTCAGCGGCTGTTCCTCCAGAATAATCATTAGTGCACGCCTAATTGAGCGGAATATTCGCTCCCAAACTCCACCTTGGTGGCTGGCTTTCGGGGGGATGAAACTCCAATCACTCCAATCAATCAATGAACGAGGAGTTCATTCCGAATCCTCTCTTGAGTTCACGCACGCATAAGCACTTTTATTTCAGATTCGGCTGCTATGAAATTATTCCCATTATCACTGCAAAGGCGTTAAAGACAACGCCTGTGAGCCACAAATCGATTAAATACACACAGGAAGGAATCAGTATCCATGGAACGGGCCACTTCGATGTGTACTGCACGCGAACTGAAGCAAGTGAACGGACGGCCAAAGCGTTTCTCTACCGTAAGTCTACGCTTAACATACATCGGACCGAAATAGTCTACACCGCATATTGTGAATGGATCTTGGTAACACAGGGTTCGATCAGCCGGTAGTGGAGCCATAACTTGTTGACAGGGTTGCCCAAACCAACGACGGCATTTGAAACAGTCTTTTAGTAGCGATTTGACCGTTTTTGCAGCCTTCAGGATCCAGTACTTTTGCCTTAAATTTGAAACGACGAAGTTGAGTCCCGCGTGACCATTCAAAGTGTGACAGTGTTCAATTATCAAATGAGTGACGAAATGCTTCGAAGGGAGGATTACAGGATACTTAGTCTCAAATGGTAGCGGAGCGTCTTGTAATCGACCGCCAACCCGGAGAATACCGTCGAAAAAAAAGG